TCAGGTCTATAATGCCTTTCTGAACAACTCTGTGCTGTGGCAGAAAAAGGAACCTTCGCCTTTTTAAAATTCCTAACACTGAAACCAAGGAAGATCATTAAAGGGTATAAAGCAGATATTAAAGCAGAGTTCATCCTGAAGATGGACTATAATCAGTCATATTTATAGCAGAGATAAAATTGTATTATACAAAGTTACCTTTTAAGTGAACCACAGAAATTAGTATAATGAAATCATAATAAATGATAGAAATTATTAAATGATAATAGAGGAAAATTATGATACAGAATCACAGAGATCAAGTTTAAGGGATTTAAATGCCCAACACAGTGGTACCAACTGTGGACAAAATACCACTTCCGTAATTGTAAACCAAATTATAGTCTGAGTGGTGGTCTTTGTAGCCAGAGGAGCTTCTGTACATTCATGCAAGTTATCCGTACTTGTGGAACCACAGAGACATCCCTGTATTTGTGTGACAGGCTAACATGTAGAGAACAAAGAAGGAATCTTCCATTAAGAGAATGACTAAGGGGTTTGAGAAAGGGAGTATGCGTGGGGAGGAGGAGTGTATTCCAGACACATACGAAGAAAGAGGTCCAGAAAACCAAACTTCAGCAAGAGGAGGATTTTGCTGTTTGAGTCCCTGTAGGGTAGTGTGGCATCTTCACCAGCCATATAGCTGTGCCTCAGTGAAAGAAAAACTTCTGGCGGACTAGAAGACCTTGTGAAGGGTTGGTTATAATCCGAGAACCTGCAGATCGCATTAGCCCTTACATTAATGTGGAAAAGTGTCTACAAGATCATAAAGGACGTAAAGGGTGACTTTTTAATTTTAAACCTTAATTTTACTTTTGTCTACATAATTTTGAAGGGTTTTTGTTTTAAAAGGCTTTTACATTTACAAGCATGTTTGCTCATCACGAGGGAGCTCATTGTAAGAGAAATGGGCAGATCCACTAAAGAGCTGTGGCCAGTTTGGAGTCTCATCACACTTTGTTTATTAGATAGTAACTGTGAAGGAGGTTTGTTGGATCTGTGTTTTGAATGGAACAGTAATGACCTTAGTAATGTTTATTGTTGCTAGCTATTACATTTAAAAATTTCTGTATAGTTTCTGAACTTAAGAATTATATTGCTGGTCTAGTTACTATTAAAGTAGTCTGTGTACAGTAATTTTAAATTGGTGAATTTCCTGCTCTTAAGGCCTCCTCGCAAGATATATTGACAGGAAGAAGAAACAAACACAAAAGCAGTCAAAAAGAGGCAAATCAGGATAATGTGGATTCTGCTGCTTACAAAGAGTAAGCAAGAAAACAGATTACCTTTCTGGAAGTCAGTAGTAGAAGAAAGGAAAAGAATCTTTTGAGATGGAACCAGAGAATATATGTTTTATACTTCTGCAGGTTTTTCTGTCACAAAAGCTATGTAAAGGTCAAGGTGGATATGGGCAGAGGCATTTATGTATTGGGAATTTTGTGAGAATTACTGTTGGGGACAGAGTAAAAGGTTTAAATTGAATGGTCACTTCAGTGATTTAGATTACATATTCATGTACTTTGAAGGTAAAGTGAATGTTGTAAAGTTTATACAGTTTTTAAGGGGAAATGGTAATGAAATGATAGCTGTCATTGTGGGGCGGTGTAAGAGGTGTGTTTCCTGGTTATCTCCTCAGTTAAGTGCCTGACATTAGGGACAAACCTGCAGTGATGAAACCTTTTGAAAATTAAACAAGCACTCTGGGAATGAAGTAACACTTTCTATTAATTTCTGAATAGTATTTCAGATCACATGGTATTTCAGAGTTGCTGGTGTTTCTAAGCTCCAGGTTACTCATCTGTGGGAGATGGAACAAATGTAAATATCAAGAGCCTGTCATCTCTAAAGCAAAACTTGTGGTTTATGTGTTTTTACAGAGAAAGGCCCCCATGGGCTTAAGGTTCACATTCGTAGTCTAGTCCAGTTTTCAGCCACTTTTCAAATAGGAAATTCTTAAGGATAATATATTCTTGCCAATTCATTGCAACCAGGGATGGACAGAAGGCTGGACATTTAAGAAATGTACATGTTGCAAATTCCAGTAACAGTTGTTTTTTTTTTTTCCAAAATGATGTAGTCAAGAGAAATGGCTTTGAAAAATGATTAATAGGAGCAAAAGTTGGGTTTATTAAACCACCTGCCTGCTTTTGTAGTAGAAGAGCTAAAACATCATGAAAACTGTGAGGTGTGATACCTTGCAATTTATCCCAGTTGACAGAGGCATCTTGTTAAAAAAGAAAAAAAAAATCCGCTCCCTTTGTGTGCATTATAGAGGCATCTCAGGGAGAGATTCTGCCCACCCTTAATCTGCTAGAATTTTACTCTGCTCTTGCCTATTAACTATAATGGTATAGAATCTTTTTCTTTTTCTTTTTTTTTTTTCCCCTGCAAATGTAGGTCACCCTATGAAGAGAAATCATTTTGGAAGGGAATGGCTTTTACACTTTTCAAAGCTGATGAATGCAAAACCCCCCACCCAAACAACCAAATTAAAACTGAATTATGCTAAATTTTGTTCCAGGATGCATGTATATTACAAGAAAAAGTAGGATTCTGATCAGCATTATTATTTAAATCCTGGCATACTCAAATCTTTACATATTCATCAGACAGAACAAGATTCAGAGTAATTCTTAATTCATAGTTTAAATTATTTTCTACCCAGAAAGGACCAGTTTGATTGCATAATCCAGTGTCCTTCTTTGGCCATATATTAAGTAGCGTAGTGAATGCTGTATCACATGAAGTTTGAGAACACCTGCAGAATACAACTTTTGATATGAAAATTACGGGGGGGGGAGGAGGGGGGGAACTAATTTTCCTGTCACTATGTTTTTGCCTTGTTTAAGTTTGGAAATTTTGTAGCTTCAGCTACTTACCACAGGAACTCAAGTGTAATGCTTCTGTTCTGAAGGCTTTTGGGATAGTTCTCTCTTGGTCCATTTTTGAATGAGGACCATTTAGAAGCCATTTCTAGTAGCATCCTGAAATAAGTGTCTATTCTGTTTTTCTGATGTATTGTTTTACATGTACAAATTAAAAAAAAGCCAAACAACAGTGTCGAGCCAGAAGCTGTCTGGGACAGAGATTTTGAGCTGAGTGAGGAGTTATCATTTGGCTGTTTATAAAATTCTTGTGCTCCCTTGAACTTAAAACCTTCATCTTCTTTTTCAGAGTAGCCTTCCAGACAGATTTTGTCATTTTAAATAGGAGTAGATGTGTCTGTCCATGTCAAAAAGTTGGATGATGGTATAAATGTTGTGCTTTGAGTTTGTTTTTCATGAAGTGGAGATTTTTTGAAGTTGTTACTGGCAGATGGAAAGTAATTTAGTAGAGTGTAATCTGTGTTAGAAGTATAGATTTGTGGGAATCTGCATTTGAAATAGCACTGAACTGAACTTTGTTCCAGTTGTGTAGTTTTATAAGATTCTTGTGGCTAAATTCAAATTCCTTTCTAGTGTAGGTTTTGCCTCTTAAAAACTTTACCATGCTAGTATTGTCTGAAAATTTAATGCTTGTTTAGTTAGTATGTTAAATCCAGTGTGGCTAGATTAATGAAATGGTCAAGTTCATATCTTGAAATGCATTTTCACCAGAGCTGTCAAAAATTAAGGAGGGATTGGAGATTAGAAGACGTAGTAGATACATTTGTGGGGGAGACCATTTCCCCAGTCAGGTCTTCCATGTTTCCATGCTGTAGAATGCAATAGAAAGTATGCTGTTATAATTTACAGGTTTTGAATGACTGTGTGCAGGTTATCTGGTCCTGAAACACCTTTCACGCTCTTGATTGTTGAACAGTTATAGTTTAAGTGGGGAAAAGTTAGTTTGCATAGTATTGCAGATTTTCTGAAAGTCTTGGAATTTCGCTTTAAAAGATGTGGTGTTTTTCGAGACACCTATTGATGTTTTCCTCAAAACTTAGGTAATCATTACCAGTAGTGTTAAGTTACTAGAAATATGGTTCTGAGTATCCCATAGGCAAAATTCTTAAAATTCATTTGTATTTGCAAGCATGTCTGGCTTCCCAACTTAGGTAATCATCTGAAGAACAGTTGAAACAAAAGTGGCTTAGTCCCTCTTACTGTTCAGTTGCCTATATTCTCTTTTGTGCCTTGTTTATTTAAAATTACCTTAATTAAACGTGAAGCACATTATTAGCTCAGAGAATTGGGCTTTTTGGCTTGTTTCACCTGCTCTTCCATTATTTTGCCAAAGGATAATTTGTACTAAAAGGGCCCAGTCCTGACATCAGTAACATAATGCAAATTTTACTTCTTAATTCAGTGATGTGGAATTGGGTTCTGTATTTCCATCTGTACCTTACAGGTTTTGTACTTATGCAAGAAGATTAATCATATTTCTTCAGTGTAAATAAGCTGATCCATACCAACTTAGAAACGAAGCAAAACAATTGTGAGCTTTGCCCACTCAAAATAAGAAAATTCTGTTGTAATTATCTGCTTAGGGTTTGTTTTGTTGTTTTTTGTTGGGTTGGTTTGTTTGTTTTAAATTTGTTAATATTCCATTGTTTAAGCGTAGTGCTGGTGCTTTACCATTGCAAACGGATTTAGGGTTTTTTTCCTCTCATGCCATGATTTTAAGGATCAGAGTTCCAGAATGCTTGCAGCAGCCTTGTATTTTTCTGTCTATTCGTGACAAACCAGCTACTGTACATTCATATAGAGCAGTACAGTCCTTGCCACTGGCAGTCTCTCTTGACAGAGAGCCTGTAGGCTGACATAAAGTGCAGCCTGTTGTGAACTGCTGAGTGGGAGCCTGCCAAAAACTCAGCAGACAGAACTAATTGGGGAGAAAAAGGATTTTTGTGCCCTCATCTCTCCCTCTTCAATTTTTTTTACAAGACTGATATTGTTAAAGTAACTTGTTTATGTAAGATTTGTCTGCCTCTATTTTCTCATTGCATGAATCATTTTTTAACTTCAAGTCTCGCACTGCAGGTCACTGAGCACTTCCACATGGCGGCTGGCACAGGACCAAACTCGAGACACGCAACTCATCACAGTTGATGAAAAATTGGTAAGGGTTTTCTACTGCATATTGCTATGATACAGCCTTCAGGGTTATTTCTGCACAACAGGCATTAACTATGGTGCTCTGCGTTCTTCTAGGAAAGCTGTATAAATGTGAACTACCAAGCAACAATCTTTCATACATTTTTGAAAGGGGAAAATTAGTAAAGCATAAATATGTGAAGAAAATGTGGCATTCAGAGTGTAAAGCCGTATAAAATGATGAGTACCTTGTTTATTATTATTATTATTGTATTATGGCCAAGCTCCAGTATAAACTGTATTTTATAACAGGCTTGTTCTTTTTGAAATCTGGGTATATTTTCGTTGTGGTGAAATCACAGAATTTGCCAACTTCCTGAAATTATCTTCATTAGGACTCATATTACTAAAGAAACTGTGTAAAGAAGCATCATGCAAGATTACTGTTACTATGCACATATACTCTAGCTTTTGAATATGCATGAAGGTTAGATTACAGCTAGGAACAAATGCATGACATTCTTCTGCTAATCGGTAGCAGATCAGAAATTTGGCAATCTTTTCTTGTAAGTTCTTCCATAATGTGTGGTCTGTTACTCTAGATGCAACCTGACACTTATGTTTACATTATTCAATAGTATAATTTTTGTAGGACTTCTGGGGGGAGTGCATCACAGCAGAAGCATGCTTTTCATTGGTTTTCATATCGCTTTTGAATCTTCAGGAAAAAACATTCCCATCATATGTTCCAAACACTTCATATTGTGTGTACTTTCTTGTATCCCTGAAGCTATAGTAACTACTTAAGAAATACTTGGAATTTTTATTTATAGATTGGACATTTGTAATGATAATTACAAGTTGAGACGGCTTTCATTTAACTGGTAAAATGCACACCTACTTCAACAACTCTTTAAGGCATTTTTTTTTCTCATGCTTTGGAATATAAATGTAGCAATAATCTACTCATAGGTAAAAAATACCAGTTCTTTTGTAAAGTTTTTTTTCTGAATTTAAAAAGTAATAGTATACTTTTAAGTTCAAAAATTAGGGAAAAAATTAATACTCTGTTCTGGCAAACGTGATCATCTTGCTAATCTAGTTGTGTAACTTGGGATTCAGGAAATTTTACTTCATATACTGGTGTTCATGAATCACTATGTGTAAGTAAGAATCTTACTATGAGTAAGATTCACCAAGTCAATAGATTTACATTTTCCTAAATAATTATGAATTGTATTTGATTATTGTAGCGCTGTTCTTTAACATTAAAAAAAGAAAAATCTAAATAGAGGTTTTGTAATGCGTGAATTTACAGTATCATATTTCCCAGTTGTGATGTCAAGTGATGGATATGTAGTTCTGAAAGAGTCTACAGTGCAAACATAACTACAGAATAAGTACTCTTCTATCTTCCATTTTGTATTTAAATGTGCATTATCCTAAGTTAAGGTTATTCATTACCCTGTGTGGCTACGAGTGTTTATACTTCCAGTTGAGTGAAAGTGATACTAATTTGGAATACATCTGTTTATTCTCTTAACGTTAATGTAAGGTAATTGTAAGTGAAGTGGTTATTTCTAATGTCATTATATGCTCTCATCAAATTGAAGATGCTCATGTCATAGTTGTTGGGGTTTTGTTTTTTTTTTTGACATCCCATAGTAGCAGCAACTGGATAATTTTGTTTCATTTTGATACATTAGATAATGTATCTAAATGATTATTTTATCCTCAGTGCTTTCAAGCATTAGGTTAAATGTCAGACTGAAAAGTATTTTCCTGTAATATTGTGTTGTAGGTGCACATTCTAGATGCACAATTTTTTTTCAATACTGTTGTAGAGCCTGAAAAAAAATCATGAACAATTAGAACATTATTTTAAAATTTTCATTTGTAGATTTAATTAAGTTTTAGGAGAAATTTTCATAATGCCATAAAATATCCAGTAATTGATGTTCTGTTGGACATAACATTCTAATGGACAAAGATTTCTATTGCATTGCAACAGGAAACCTTCAAAAAGGGATGGAGAGGGACTCTTCATTAGAGACTGTAGTGACAAGGACAAGGGGTAACGGGTTAAAACTTAAACAGGGGAAGTTTAGATTGGATATAAGGAGGAAATTCTTTCCTGTTAGGGTGGTGAGACACTGGAATAGCTTGCCCAGGGAGGTTGTGAATGCTCCATCCCTGGCAGTGTTCAAGGCCAGGTTGGATGAGGCCTTGGGTGATATGATTTAGCGTAAGGTGTCCCTGCCCACGGCAGGGGGGTTGGAACTAGATGATGTTAAGGTCCTTTCCAACCCTAATGATTCTATGAGTCTATGATTTGGTGTGGCTGTCAAATCTTTTAGGGTCAGAAAAAGTTCTCTAGACACCTGTTAAACTTCATGAAAAAGTAGGGTACTGTATTAAATTGTTGTACATTATTGCAGTGTATTTCTTAATTTTAAGTAGGATTAATTTCAACCCATTAAAACTAATTTAACACATTACGTGAATTTTCTGGGTTTTAGATAATGTTGCTAAGCGTAATAAAACTATTATTTCCATGCAAATTTTAATTAAACTGTATTCCAGAAGTTGATGCTTTTAATTAAAAAAGACCCCTCCTCTCATGTTACTGCCAGATGTATGTGTGTTATTGTTAGAAATTTTTGAATCATATTTCGATGGATTTGTTGGTTTTGTTATTTTCTTTTTTTAATGGAAAGCCTGATGATTTTTATGTGCCTGTTAGAAAAAAGAAGCAAGAACAGGCAGAAAATGGGATATAGTTATTTTTGTTTGTCTTGTTACCCTTTTAGTTCACTTTGAATTTGAACTTTTCTGTAAGTTGATGTACTCTACAAGGCTAGCAGATTACCGCTGTGGTTCTTGAAAACGTTTAACTGTATACTGTAGTCAGATTAATCTGTCCATTTCCAGTGCTTTTGTTGACCATATAGTCCTATATGTACATGCATATGCTAGAACTTGATCAACAGGGATTCCTTTGAATTATCTGGAGTCCTAGTTTGGTTCTGTAAGTACTAAATTGTTCCTTGTCTTGGAAAACACAAATGAAATAGAAGAAGGAAGAGCATCCTGACAATGAGTTATTAAGCAGTAGTCGGTCACCTTCTTGCTGCAGGCCAGCATGTGTTAAATACAGCAGAAAAATGAGTTCTAATGAAGCAGTAGAAAAATACAGTAGTTTAGACCACATTCATTTTTCATTTTAGAAAAAAGTGGGAGTCTTAAGTGTAAAAGAAGTTAAATGCTCAGCTTCTGTAAAACACATTCAATAAATTGTTACTAGCTGCTTTCAGTGAATATTGAATAGAAAAACTTTTAAGAAACAGTTAAGAAGAAAATAACATACAAAATGAACAAAGCTGAACAGAAATGTAGTTCTTGCATCACATTTTGAATCTCTGGCCACCAATTAGGTCATATTCCAAGAGTCTGGACAAATAGCTGTGTGAAAAGTAGTCTCTCAAGACTCTGCTTGGATTAGGAAATTTGGGCTATAGAGGACAAAGGTTGTCGGCAGCAAATCTCCCTCAGGTAATGTTCCAAATTATTTAACTGTTTGTGTGTGTTGAATAATGTATCTTCCATCGTTATTATATAAAGCTTTAGTGGTTTTGCCTAAAATGGGGTTTGAACTGTTTTAAGTGGCTGCAAATTGTTTCAGTTTTTTTTAAGTAGGCTGCATCAGTACTTTTTGTTGTAGCTAAAAGTTGTCTGGTTCAGCATGTCTGCTTTAAGCAGGCTTCCCAGTCAGTGGTGGTGAAACTACATTGTGGGTGTCTAGCCTGCAGTTCCTACAGGCTAGGCACTTTTGTGAAAGCTGCTGTCTGCAGTTGGAAGGTACCCCCAAGAATTTGCCAATAAAAGGGCTTTTGTAGTAGTGAAATGGTAGCACATTTCAAAATTAAAATAACTGCCAGAAAATAGCCTCTCTAAAGCAGAATATTCCCCTGATAATATATATGCTGTAGCTCAAAGCAAAAATTATTGCAAGAGCAGTTGTAGGGTTTGGTCACTGGGGAGTTGCTAGAAACATTGTGGAACTGTGGTTAAGGATCAGCTATTAGTTGCAGCCATCTCACAGATGTTTTTATTCCGTATCAGGCCAAGATAAAATAGAATAAGTTGCTACACAGAATTAATGCATTTAAGAGCAGTGCTATCAAGTGCAATTGAAATAACACTAAGGTAGTTTTTGCAGCATTATGAGAACATGTCCTAATGGACTCATACTACAGGCATGACAGACTAGCTACAAAGATGCTATTGACATTTCAGCGCCTGTCCTGAAACTGTTTTGTCTCTACTGTTATTTAATCCCCTTTTTTTTTCCCAGTAATGGTTCAGAAGTCCCTATACTGAAACTCAGCAGAGGGCCAGTTTCCTTCTGATTGTAGACAAGCTCTGTATAACTTAATAATGGTAACTTGCATACACCAAACTGAGTGCATGAGATCTGAACCCCTTTTTGAGGATGAGCAGCTCATACTTTTCAGATGATGTTCAAGAGGAGGAATAAATACTGTATACTGCAGCAGACTAGGCCAAAGCAGAATAAGTGAACTGAGTGGATGTGAGAAGGGCTGTGGATGTTGTTTATCTCAAGTGTAGTAAAGCCTTTGTTACCATTTCCATTCTCCTGGAGAAACTGATTGCCTATAGCCTTGCATGGGTGTCGCTGTTTGCTGGGTAAAAATGTGGCTGGATGGCCAGGCCCAAAGAGTTCTGGTGCTTTCCAAACCTACATATTCTATGATTCTATGAATGGAATTAAATCCAGTTGACAGCCAGTCACAAGTGGTCTTCCCCAGGGCTCAGTATTGGTCCAGTTCTATTTAGTGTCTTTATCAATGACCTGGATGAGGAGATAGTGAACCCTCTGTAAGTTTGCAGGTGACACAAAGCTGGGTAGTAGCACTCATCTGCTGGAGGGTACGAAGTTTCTGCAGAGGGATCTGGACACGCTGCATTGATGGCACAAAGTCAATTGCATGAGGTTCAACAAGG